ATCGGTCGTTCGACTTGAGTTCTTTCCAAGAGGGTGCAAGAACACTATCCGGTATGGTTACGAAGAAGTGGAGGTGGAGCAGTGAGAAGTGAGACCATTGAACATGTGGTCGATAATGATCACTCTATCCCTCTACAACCTCCGCCTTTAAAGTCATCTACAAGGCAAACAGTAATTTACCCAAATCACTACTTACCCGACTTATCTGTATTGCTGAAGCTTTGGATATCGAAACAGAAGAGCCAAATCTCTGTGTACAGAAAAATTTCGTTCAATCCCTCCAACTTTTCTGTTCTTTATCCCTCCATGCTAAAGTATGGTAATCCCTTATCATATTTTGGCTCTACCAATTTTTTGCGTTTTGTCTACTCAGTTTGTATGCTCTTCCTTTATTGCTTCAATTGTTATTATTACTATTCTCACTTTGAACTATCCCCGGTATTATTTCATTCGTTCCACTTGTCATTTTTAATCAATTTGTTTTTACAACGTTAATTTTTATGCAATCAAATTTCCCACAATATTACGTAACGTTTTTATTTTATTTGATTTGTCTAATAATCTTATAATTTGACACCCCTTCCAAGTTCCATACATTTCATGAATTATTCTCTATGTGACACTAATTGTTTTGACACTTGACATTTAACTATGATTGTATTCACAAACATTTTAATTGCATTTCATACTGCTGCTATTATTATTTTATGCATTCACAGCTTTGACTCAATTCGCTCACACGATCGTACAGCTTGATAACAAATACGTTGAAAAGAGTCTCTTCGCTGAATTACTTGTTTTGATTTTTTGCAACATGGTTCACAATAATAAAATAAAATGCATGATAATCACTCAGTTATATAAAACAAAAATACATACTAATGACTAATCAAATTTAAATAGGTTAAGTAGTTCATGGTAGGTAGGCGAAGGTTGAAGGACGAAATACTGTGGACTCTACTTCAAACTGTATCTACAAGTTCACCTACAGTTCCAGGTCGGACCAATAGAATGTTTAATGTCGTCGAAAAGAACATGTTCCAAAATGGCTACTAAATCATATAGAAAATCCCATAGTAGTTAATCTGAATAGAAATCCATCATTATCCATTACAAAGCACTTATTAATGTCAGGTCACAAAATCAATATTAATGACTGTTTCACAATTATTTCACCACATAACTCTAATTCAAGGTTAGTTATTGAAGGTGATGGAAGCACTTAAGAGGATTAATTACATACGTCCTAAGTTATGTGTACAGAAAACAGTAGACTTCAACCTTCGCCTACTATGGACTGACTACTTGACCTATTTAAATTTGATTGGTCATTAGTGTATACTTTTGTTTTGCATAACTGAGTAATTGTCATACATTTTATTTTACTATTCTGAACCATGTTGGTTGTAAAGCAATTGTAGAGAAACGACGAAATGATATCATCATCTTGTGGAATTTGTCTTCTATCTAAATGCCTTATTCAAATCTTATTTCTTCCAGAAATAAAGTACAAAATAACTTTTTCTAGACAACTCAACATTTTCAAAATTTTATTCCATTCCTTTGCGTTCTACGCTGAACATAGGGCTTCAAGTTTGAGCTAGAAAGTTCTATTAGAGCTAGGGATGTCTTATTTTTATGAGGTGCAGTTGCTAACTCATGCCTACCTTCCCTTATTCTTTCAGGCTTGCTGTCGACTAAGAGACGTTAAAGAGCAAGTCAATCATGGGAATCGAACAGGACCACATGTATGGTTGACGACATTCCTATCACTGAATCACACACACACACACACACACACACCAAACTCAGGACTACATTTCTAGAATTCTAGGACAATGAAATAATTCTTGTACCATAATGTATTTATATGCATACAAATAGGTATCTATTTGAATATGATTTGTTGGTTGGTTGGATGTATGTTAGATTCTGCAAACATTCTTTCACAGATCACATGGTGTAAAGTATATTGATCCATGTTTTCATGCTCAGTGTGTGTATGTGTGTGTGTGTTTGTGTATTAACTTTTGTTCAATACTTCGGTGGTGAGTTAAGTGTTTTTTTTTGTTTTTTCAAATTTATAAACTGTAAAAAGAGAGTAGAATTTCACCCAGTTTTATCTCAGAAAATTTTGGCATATCAATCTGAGTCATTATTGGATTACTTCTACAGATATTCTGAATTCATAGCTATTTATATGAAGTAGAGTGAAAAAGTCATTCGTTGCATCAAACTGAGTCACTTTTCTTGACCAACAGGGTAAAATTAGGTGATAAAAAACAGGCAATTATGAGTCGCCTGATAAAAACATGGTTTCAGTTAATGCATCAACTACCCATTAATGTGATTAATGCAAACAGATTTAAAAAGATTTTTATTCCTTTACGTTCCCAGTGGAACATAGGCCCCTTCAAGCAAGAGGCTTGAAGTTTCGGTAGCAGTGCTGTTTTTTATTTTTACGGGATGGGGGTGCTAGACTCATACCTAACCTTTCATCTTTACCAGTCTTATTAATGGCTTAGCGAGGTGAAGGAGTGCGTCGGCCGGCGACTGAACCCCGGACCATGTGCATGGTCAGCGTGTGTCCTAACCGTTGTGCCACCGACGTGGTTTATGAGACATTTTTATTTTCTTCTTTTCGTGTGTGTGTGTGTGTGTGTGTGTGCAGTTTTGTGTAGTGTGACAAACTGAACTGATACATTTGTGTGGAAAGTCCTACACTGATTTGTCAGTCCACTCAGTCAGACAGTATACAGGTACCAATGAAAACAAATTTTAAAAAGCACACGTTGGAAATGACTTAATAAAATGTCATTTTTTGTTTTTAAAAAAAATGAAATAATTCTAATTTGAATGAGTTTCATAATTTTCTGCACAATGTGTTTAATATTTCTGTGGATGATCTCAACTGCCGTTTAAAATGCGTAAGTTTGTATTCACAGCTATCATGACGAGAACTACAACATGCAAGAACTTCTGCCTAATTTTCTATTTCATTTAGACATGATTCCAGCCTGTTGGTAATAACTCCTTTCACTTTCGGTAGTGAAGAAAAGTAGCGAATTAAAAATTCCTTCACACTGATTGACTTATTTAATAGTGAATGTTTTATAAACTTGACTACTTTGTTATATGATTTTGACTGAAATGAAAGTTGGTGGTTGTTATCTCACAGATTCTGAAGTAATTTTCATGTTTTGATTTGCAGGAATTTTATCGCTTTCAAATTAAATGACTGATCAGAGAACCATTGAAAACTAGAGAGTACAGGACGAGTGTTTCTTCCTAATTTGCGACTATTTATTAGTACGTATCCATAACGTAAATGAAGATAGAACCTGGGACCTTTAGGTTACGGCGCAAGACTGTGATGTAATAAGTCATGAAACGACAGAAGTTAGAATGCATGGGCTATTGTATTCTGAGTGGTCAGCGGAGTGGCCTCGTATTCTGAGGGTCCTAGGTGCGTATTATTGAAGAGTCCCAGACCAGGACGAGGCAGCTGTTCAGTACTCCTTGGATTTCAGTAGTTCTTTAGCTGATATCCATCCTCGAAGTCATTTAAAATGAGTAATTATTGAATAGAGTTGTAGCAATAAGTCTAGAGATCTTCCAGCTTTGATCCTGAAGTATCACGTATCAATGGTTAGCGACTTAGGAGACACAGAGATGCAGTGAGCGAAAACTAAGTAAACAACTTCACTCGCGACTTTTCCATTGAAAATATTTAGATGACTGTTGTTGTGACACTCTCGTCGATAGTGGACATCAAGTCGACTGTAACGAAGCTTTTAAAGTTATTTATCGTACATCAGCCAACCTCTCGCATGGCTTACGAGTACTGTAACAACAGAAGACAAGGGCCAGGCAACAGATCGTTTTATAATGAAAATCAACACGTATTTATACATATTTCACATACATTATTATAGCTTATGCAAGTAGACAAGCGCAGTCATCTGATTGGTTGTTTATCAGAAGTTAGGCAGACAAACGCAGGCTTCTGATTGGTTGTTTCGGGATTCCTCGACAAATAGAGTTCTCTACCTGCGAATCATATTTTGCCACGTTAACTTTGCTGTGATTGGTTTTTGAATCAGCCTTGCTCATATTTTCTCACGGCCTGCTCTCACCACAGTACGTCTTTTACATACAGCAGAGGTAGTCGGAATTCATCTGAAAAAGTCAAGTCTGTGTGTTCAAAGAAAATTTGTACAGCCCCTATCGTTGCCACGTCCAACTATATAATATGTATTAAGTTTTTAAACGACGATTTTCCCCTTACCCTTGCAACTATCTTTTGAATTTGCTAATTTTTACAATTCTAGCTGATTCTATTCACTTGTTTGTATTTTACGTATTTCTTCTGAGTTATCCTATTCTTCTTGGTCATCATTTTTCGGTTAGATAATAACTTGTTGTTAACACCTAAGAATCAACTTATCTTGAATTCCGTAATTAATTTTCACCCTTCTTTCAAAACTTAGATATCTTGTTGCTGACATCTATTAGTTAGTTTTCAAGTATTAGTTTTGTAGGGATTTTTTTATTGGCTGGAGGATTTCATTATGATCTAACATCATTTAGAGAACCATAGAAAAAGCAGTAGGGAGTACTGGACAGCTGTTTTGTCTTGGTCCGGGACTCTTCCGCAGTACTCACCCACCGCCATGGTTCGAACCCAGGACCCACTGGTTACAAAGGCCAGCGAGTTCGTAGACAATTAAGCCACTGTGACCCGATCCAATGTCCAGTGCATGGATTATAATTTCTGCGAATTCATGACATAGCGTGGTCAATTCGTGATTGTTCTGATGACTTTTAACCTCTTAATTTCATCCTCGTATACATTTCTTTGCTGAATCTATTGTTTTCTCTAAATGTGTAAGTGGGAATTTACAAATTCTTTCATTGTTCAGTTATCACTTCCAGACAGTGTGAGTAACTGAATTTCTGAATAACCAATATCCTTCATTTTAATATATTTTCTTTTTCAGAATAAAGCATTCGGTAGATGTTTACTCGAAGTTGTATGTGAACGCCTCGGTGTTTTATCACATATTTCCTACTTTGGACTGCGCTACTGTGATAATAATAGTATCAATGTAAGTGTTGTTTTTTTAAGTTAGTGTAATTGTTTACCTCAAAATCATTTATGTATGTCGGAGACACTTTACGCCTTGTAATTACCCTGGATCTGTAAGATAAGTAAAATAAACTTAATAAAGAGGAGTGTATAGTTGATAATAAGAATAGAACTTGTGCACTGTGATAGAGTATAATTCCATTATGGGTAAAATTAATTTTGATAAAGTCTCACGGTGTTGTTATACAGTAATATTTACTGATGACGTTTCGAGCACAATTTATTACTGCTCATAACCATAACATATCTTGATATGATTATGGATAATAAATTGTGTTTTTACCAGTTGATCACGGATTGATATCAGTTAGAGAACCATTGAAAACCAGATTGGAGTACTGGACAGCTGCTGTTTCATCCTAGTTTGCGAATCATCAGCAGTACGCACCCACTGGGATTCGAACACATGACCTTCCGGTTACAAGGCAAGCTAGCTTGTATACCATTCAGCCACTGGGACCCAACGCGATTCACTGGCTAGCCCATGCATGAATTCTAACTTCTATCGATTCGTGATTTAGCGCGACTCCAACTATTGTTGTTGGTGGGACATCCATCCACACACATGACATCTAACTGGATCTCACTGGTCACGACTTCTCACTAGAATTCCAGGAAACTCCATCCTGTAGCAAGTCACTAGCGAGAATCAGAATAACATTCTATAGTTTGGTATGTAAGGGTTAGTTATATTTTTACCAGTGAGGTCCATCCAAATGTCAAGTGTGAGGATGGATGTCCCACCAACGACAATAGTTGGAGTCGCGCTAAATCACGAATCGATAGAAGTTAGAATTCATGCATGGGCTAGCCAGTGAATCGCGTTGGGTCCCAGTGGCTGAATGGTATACGAGCTAGCTTGCCTTGTAACCGGAAGGTCATGTGTTCGAATCCCAGTGGGTGCGTACTGCTGATGATTCGCAAACTAGGATGAAACAGCAGCTGTCCAGCACTCTCAGCTGGTTTTCAATGGTTCACTAACTGATATCAATCCGTGACCAACTCGTGAAAACATAACTAACCCTCGCAAACCAAACTATAGAAAATAATAAATTGTGCTCAAAACGTTATCAGGCATGTATAGTGCTTGCTTTATTCAAGATACTCAGTATATTCGAAGGGGATATTGAGTTATGGTAATGTTTGGATGGTTAAGGCTGCTACTTTGTATCGTAACAAAACCAGGTGGCTTTTAACTCTAACCATCGTATACGGATATAACTGAAAATGAAGTTTAAGTACAAATAATAACAATGACAATAATAATTTCTCTATTCTGAACAGTATTTACATCATGTATATAATTTTCAGCAGAAATTATTACATAACTGCCCCTCATTACCCAGTATCTTCAAGTAAACTGGTAACTGAAAGTAAATCCGCCCACAGATTCGCTTTTTCTCAAATTTAATATAATCAACAGGTCTCAGACATTTTAAATATTTATGAGAGTAGAAAATACCATTAGAGGTTATACTTAAATAGATTACAACAAATTGAATAAGAGAAATGATATGGAATATAGTTGTTATGGTGTGTTTTTGGTAACGCGGGCTTCAAACATGCCACCACAGTTTTCATCAATTAAATATCTAAAAACAAATGTAACTTGTTTTCAAAAATTCAAAACAATTAGTCCCTTTTATAAATTTGAATAGTGTTGTCAGAAGACGGAGATTATCTGAAAAATAGTGTGATATATTTGCGCCATACATTTCGAACAATCTGATCCCTCACACACTTACTTGTCAAGTCGATATATATGAAAAAATTAAGGGGGATGAAATTAAACAGAGTGACAAAAAAAGAATTTAAGAATGATTAACACAACGTTTGGTAATCCAGTCAATGAAGGATCACCAAGGTAGGTTAAGAGTAATAATAAACTATAATCATCGAAAAAGCCAAAAATATGCTTCACTGCAAACCTCAAAAGTGCATAAGTGATTATGTCACATCCCACACTGTTTACCAGTTTTCGTGTGCGTGTGGACACACATAGATAGGGAGGAGTAATCGCGCTTTGCATGTGAGGGTGGGACAGCGAGCATATCCCGAAATGGTTAGAAAAACAGATGAACTGTGACAAGCCAATAGATGCAGGTGTCAGACTACCAACTTCGTCTATAGCTAAACATCTAATCGAGATGAACCATAAGATTGATGTTAACTCAGCCTTTAAGGTCATCCATAAAAAATGGTCAAGGGTGCTTATTGAAATATGTTGAGGCTATAGCTATTCATAAACTTAAGTCCCCCTCCTGTGTATTCAAAAATACTTTATTATTACTCTTAACCTACCTTGGTAATCCTTATTTAATTGGATTACTGATGCTCGCTAGTGACTTGCTACAGGTTGGAGTTTCCTGAGTTCTAGTGAGAAGTCGTGACCAGTGAGGTCCAATTAGATGTCACGTGTGTGGATGGATGTCCCACCAACGACAATGGTTGGGGTCGCGCTAAATCACGAATTAGTAGAAGTTAGAATTCAAGAGCCGTTGAATCGGGTCCCAGTGGCTGAATGGTATACGAGCTAGCTTGCCTTGTAACCGGAAGGTCATGTGTTCGAATCACAGTGGGTGCGTACTGCCGATGATTCCCAAACTAGGATGAAACAGCAGCTGTCCAGTACTCCAATCTGGTTTTCAATGGTTCTCTAACTGATATCAATCCGTGATCAACCCGTAAAACATAACTAATCCTTACAAACCAAACTATAGAAAGGATTACTAAATATTGTGTTAATCATTCTTAACCCTTTTTTCCACTTCGTTTAATTTAATTGCCCATAATTTTGACAGTAAGGTAGTGGTGTATCCTAGTTCAAATGCACTATTCGCTCACTAAATTAGACAGCACAAACTCACAGTGGATTAGGGGCCTAAATGAGGCATGTTTATGGTTTAAACAGTTCATGTAGATCCCTTATTTTCTATTAAGAATTTAAATTCAAAAGGTGGGCTGAATCTTTCATGGTTAGATAAGTGCTAAAGAAGTTGGAATATGCGTAAACGATTATGTGGAGGTTAATATCAATTTTCCTAACATCGTATTCATCACTATTATTTCTACTTTCTGTTACAAGAATAAACTTATTCACCTCTTATTCTAGTTTGTTATGAATATGAAACTGCTTCCTCATTCCATTCAAAAGATTAGTAATGTAGTATTTTCAGAGTTTAAAATAGTGCGTCATGAAGAGCATTTCGAACAAACTATAGACCTTCATAAACACCTATTTTCTCTCAATACTCAAGATCAGATGGTCGGCCAGAAAAGATCAGCAACAGGGATCTCTTGCAATGAGCAAACCAACCCAGCAGGAACCGAATGTTCAACAAATCTGCAAAAAGAAATGGAAGTGGATTGGTCATACTCTGAGAAAACCATCAAGTGACATCACATTACAGGCCACACTACAGTGGAACCCGAATGGGAAGCGGCGAGTTGGTCGTCAGTGCGAGGGTGACATGGAGGAGGAAGTGATGTGAAGAGGAGATGAAAGCCTGTAGTCAGTAGACGTGGAATCAGGTGAAAACGTTGGCAGAGAACCGAAGGCAATGGAGATGTGCGTCTGAAGCCGTATGTTCCTCTAGGAACTAAAGGAAACAATAATAATAAATAATAATAAAGTTTAAAACTACATTAAGTCGATGTATATAATACTACTAATTTCAAAATATTTCTCTTCTTTGTGAATTAATGCTTATTTCCATTTTGTTTATGAATTTTGATTAGCAATGGCTCAATTTAAATGACAAAGTTTATAAACAGCTTAAAGGTGAGTTTTATCAATTTACACTAAATAAACGTTTTCATTATTATATATGAAGTATATAGGCATCTTTTTTGACTATGTGTTTTGTAAGGGTTATTATAAGTTGTACATAGTACTGACTAACTCATTTCATTTGTGTATTATCCCTATTTTGTCAGTGAAAGGAAATGATATGCGCTATATTTCTTAATTTTTGCTGGAGAACTTTTACTAAATTTGGTTATGCAGCTGACCTTTACAAAAGTTATGATGAAATGTTATTGAGTTTTCACGGGTAGTAGTTTTATTCCTTCTAGAAAGAAATTCGATTATAAGGGTAGTATGTTTAAATTAGTAGCATCCGCAGCCTTCATGAAGTTTGGGTTGGAAATTCATCAAGTGACCTACATGAATTCTGCATGTGGACAGAATAGATAGGCCGAGTGGATTACATATTAAAGCCTTATGGTGGTGATTGAGAATTTTCATGTTCAAATTTCTGTGTTATTTTAGTTTCCGATGTAAATTTGATTATTACATTGTCAGAATCAAATAAGATCAAGTTGGTTTGATATAGCCTAATCAAGGGATTCAATTAACCTTGATACTAGTGACATGTACGTGTATGTAGTACAGGTAACGTGCGTCGGTGGCATAGCGGCAGAATGTTCGCCAACCATGCCACACGTGGTCCGGGGTTCAATCGCCGGCCGACGCACTCCTTCACCTCTCTAAGCCAGTGATAAGACTGATAAAGATGGAAGGTTGAGCATGAGACTAGCCATCCCATTCTGTTAAAATAGACAACACTGTTACGGAAACTTCAAGCCTTTAGCTTGAACGGGTCCTATGTTCCACTGGGAATGTAAAGGAATACATGAACATGACTACAGGTAACAGTGTGTCAATGGTTCACTAGTTGAATGATAGAGTCAACCACCCATGTGATCAAGGTTAGTATTCCTTCTGACACAGTGCAAAACCTTTGATGATTTTGCGAGACATAATTTGGTTTGTAAAAGTGGTTTGCTTATAAGAACACACGGAATATTATCAGCTTTGAAGTACTTAATAAGGAATCCTTTCCAATCATATGAAGATCATAGTTTCATATTTCCGTATACATCCTGTCACTAAATTCTACCATCTGAAAAATCATTAAAAGCCCAGAAGTATTAGATAGATCTGCTATTGCCATTTAGGGATGTTCAATAGTAACAGCTTACAAGTGTACAGGGAATTGAATCTCTAGCCGTCAGTCTTAGCAGCCAGTGCATTAACGTGCATTCAGTGAGTAGGAATTAGATGATCTGTACTTCGCAACTAAGGCGGGTTCACGATTTAATTCAGCCAACATGTTTTGTTGATGTAGAAGTGACATGCAAGAGAGGTTATATTGAGCATACTTTTTTCTATACTCTAGTCATCTCATACTAAATTAAAACGATGGATTTTTGACTCACAATTCATGAAGTATTTTGGAACACGTAAGGAATACGAAGACGAAATGGAAATTAACCCTAAGAAATTATGAAATATTCGTATTCTAACAGATTCCTGAATTCGACACAGGCTACATACTACTTAGGAGTTATTTTGAGTGTATTTGGTTTATTATAATCTAAAGGATAATGATGAAAAGTTCTGTGATGGTCTCTGGGGACTTCCTATGAAAATAAATAAAGAGACATACTTATACAACTTGTACTACTGTGGTGAAAGCTGGCTGCTAGCCAAAATTGGTAGACAATAATTTACATCAATGTTCATGTCTCCAACATTGGTCATGAGAAAAATAAGAACAAAGACTGACTCAACAGTCAATCACAGCAGCCTTCGCGTAGGCGGATACAATTTATAGATAGATAATCTAAACCTCAAGAAACGGTCACAACCAGATGAAAGATTAACATTCACCGAGAAACCACCAATCAGAAGACTGTGTTTGTCAGCTAACAATAATCTGTAATAATGTACATGAAAATCTATGAATATGTGTTGATTTCGTAAATAAACGATCTGTTGTCTGGCCCTTGTCTTCTGTCGTTACAAGACAACCACCTTTTCTGTGGTTGTAAGTCTCCATAGTGATTGCGTATTTTATATCCGCGGTGGATTTACTAACCGCACACCGAATCTTATGTCTTCTTCTCGGCTTAGAAGCGAGTAGTAAACTAGGCGAGGAATACCTCAAACCCTTGTAAATTTCACTCGATAGCTGTATAATGGTGTCGCATACCAAGTGATCCACTATGAGGTGAAGTCAGGAGTAAGACAAGGCTTTCTGCTACCTCTGGTGATCTTCCTCTTTGTGGATTATACAGAAGACCACGTAAAGTTAGAAGACGGACGTACTTCCTACTGACAAAAGGACACTAGAAGATCTAAACTTTGCTCGTGACGCATGTCTTACATGCATAAACTCGAAGAAATATGAGAAAAAACCAACTAGTTGACTTCAAGTGAACATAGAGAAGATAGAGATGATGAAGGTACCCAACGAATAACATCAAGTACCAACCACAATCAACGGAATTAGATCTAAAAGAAGTTACTCCTTTGACTTACCTGACAAAGGTAGCTTCTTTTCAACTACAGTCAACATGGATAAACAGTACCAAAAGCAGGATTAGACAGTCAAGACAGAAGTTCCTTACTTAGAAATCAGTGTGGAGATTCACAGCACTCACCACAGGAAACAAGAACAGAGCTTTCAACACTAATGACAAGTCAGTGTTTCTGAATAGTTTAGAGATTTGACGTACCCATCATGAAAAGCGTTTCCAACGGGTTAAAGTCTTGTCCGCAGCTATCTTTGAAGCTTCGATACTGAAGAATGGATGGTTAGTCAGAAAGAATAAGTGACAAGGATGTCCAGCAGAGAAACCTGCCAAGTACCTATGACTGACCAAATAAATATACCAGATAGTAATAACATACAATTACCTTTGAAATTCAAGATCCACGAATATTCAAAGAATAATCTAAGAACAGTTATTCGTAGTTGGCTCTAAGAAGTTTAGTTTGTGAGCCTGTCTTACAGACAATCTGCACATTTACTCCTATTACTGACAATTAGGGAACAGTTTATTTGGTCCTGAGAATTGGCGTACTATTTTTCCTAATACTGATTTACTGTGCAAACTAGTTTCGTTGTTAGTCTTCACACCATTTATATACTCACTTTTATTGATTTTTGAAACAATTATAGAAAATTAATTTAATTCTTTTGTTTTTCTATCCATAGATGTCAAAAATTCTACTCTGTGCTTTCGATTCATTTACTATCCGAATAATCCGTTGAAGTGCTTTCCTAATGAAACCATTAGGTAACTCATTTGCTATGTCTATTTTAATGTAATGTAATGTCTAACTGTATTATTGTAATTCCTGCCAAAATGTGACAAATATAATATAGTTCACAACATGGCGCGACCGCTAGCCAATATCTTCGGCGAGTATTTGTCCTCACACCCGACCAGCTGCACCCTACTGGTCACGACTTCCCACTGGAACCCAGGTAACTACCTACCTGAATAGGGCCAGTCGCCAGTGAGCATCTCATTGGTATTCAAGTGTTGGTTCAAGGACCATTGGATCGGGTCCAGTGGCGTAATGGAATACGAGCTCGACTTGTAACCGGAAGGTCCTGGGTTCGAATCCCGGTGGGTGCGTACTGATGAAGAGTCCCAAACTAGGATGAAACAGCTGTCCAATACTCCCAGGTTTTCCAATGGTTCTCTAACTAATGTCAGCTCATGATGAAATCCTGAAACCAATCAAATCCCTACAAACCAACACTTGAATAATATAGTTCATCCTAGTGAGTAAGAATGATACACTTACTTTTACAGAAAAAAGTGTGAGAATCTTCAATGTTCTTCTTCTTTTCACGATAAACATTTTGGTTTTGGCTAAGTTTTTTTTGTGTGACCTTTCTAATCTTGAGCTTGGTTTGGAAGTCTATTCTTTTAACCATAAAATAAATTTGTAATGAAGAATTTTTTTCTCCTAGCTAACAGGAGGGTCAACACACTCATTTATTACATTTCATTATAAAGTACTAAAATCGGTGTCGTATTCACTTTTATGTTGTTCTCGTGCTTCATTTTTTACACACTGCTAATTTTTTCTAGGCGTATTGTTCAAGTTTACTCATTACAAGGTGGTCCTTAGAGTGAGCGTAGAATGATAGTCAAACTCCTACCTCAGATTCATCCACTTTGAAAGGACCTTCGACAGTGTTAACCGCGAAGTAATTTGGAAATTAATTCAACACCACGGTGTGCCTGAAATCTTTATCAATCTCATTCAACAGGGATATATGAAAATGTCACGCGTCGAGTAATCCACAACGGAAAACTTGACGAAGTCTTTGAAGTGAAGACAGGAGTTATACAAAGCTGCCTACTATCACCAATGATATATCTGACTGTAGTGCACTGAATTGTGTGTGGCATACCGTGATGAGCTACAAGACAGAAATACTCTGAACTGATAAGAAGACTCCAGAAGGTCTGAATTTTGAGGATGATTTGTGTTTAATGTCATGCAAACTCGAAGATTTACTGACAGAATCCAACAAGCTGGCAGAAGTAGCAGTGAATATGGGACTTCAAGTGAACATAGAGAAGGCGGAGGTGATGAAAGTAACTAGCCAGCTACGACAACAACAAGCATTAATCATTATAAGCGGAATAAATTGAAAAAGGTCACTTTTTCCTCGTATTTGCTCCTCATCGTCTCAACTACAGATGGCACGGATGAGGATTTCAGAGGCAAGATCGCAGAAGAAAGTCAGACATTCATCACCCTGAAATCATTATGGTGATATGCTTCACTAAGCATTAAAAAACAACATTTAGGTTTAAAGAACTGATGTCAAAACGATCCCCTTATATTGTTCAGAGATTTATCGCTTTTCGAAAAGCATTTCGAATAGGTTGTGGGCTTTCATCAGCTTCTGCCTTCGCCACATAATGAAGATCAAGTCATCAGAAACGATTAGCAGCAAGAAACTCTGGCAATCAGCTAACCATCCAGCCAAGAACTTATTGCTTAGCAAATAATCAGAAGAAAGTGGAGGCCGTTGAGTGACATCACGTGCCACGCAAACCCTCATGTGAAACCCGAGTGGGAAATGACGAGTTTGGTGTATATCCGAGGGTAACATGGCGGAGATCGTGTGAGGAGGAGGAGGAGGCAAGAACTCATCGACAGTTGTGGAGCCAACTAAAGACAATGGTATAGAACAGGGAGATACGGTGATGTCCTGCTGAAGCCCAATGTTCCACTCAAAAACCAGTTGAATAGTTTTAATAATTCTGCATTTTTGAACGGTTATTCCCTTTGGGGGAAAATGTCTTTTTAACAGATGATGTATTTGTCTGTTTCCAGTGAAATGGTTGGATATAAGCGAAGCAAATCTCAGTGTTAATATGGTACAAGTCCAAGCTGGTCTCCTGATTATGTTTCCATAAATGTAAAGAACAATTGGAAAATAGGCTTTTTTTACAGTAATGGAGATACAGTCACTAATTCTGCCTAAAAATTTTACTCAGTAGATAAGCCTACACAAATGAACAGTTTATTTCAAATAAATAAAACAGTTAATGGATCAAATTTTGTTATGGTGCCACTGATCTCACGTGTACCCAATTATTTTGTTGTCTGTTGTCTGCGTCATCGTCAAGAATGGCGATAACAATCTCACTTTTGTATGACATTCTGCTCTATTTTGTTATTTGCAACTTTTTCAGCATGAATTTTATCTTTTAAGATGCTTACTTTACCTTCAGACTATCGGATCTTCGCTTTCTTAGTTTATTAGATACAGTATTTTATTAGGTGCAGTGTAAAATACTGCTTTATTCTTCTCTTAACATCAGAGGACAAATTTATTTAGGTGAATTTGTATTTTCCATTGATTCTCTATATTGAGCCGGAGTGTTCAATTTCTGCGTACATGTCAATCATTTATAGGGACTCTTCGACTATGTTTGAAGATTAACAAGATTTTATTGATAGCAGCTGACAGTGGAATCCAGGCTACGCATTTGATCCTACTTGACACGCATCAACTGGATGAACTTGCATCTCCAAAGAGTGATGGATAGTATTCCACCCTCCCCCAGACTCTTACCCAATACCCATCGTTTCAAACGTCAAGGCCAGGTTAAAATCTCATTCGAAGCATTATTCATCACTCACTAGGGATGCAAGTACATTCGCCAGATGAGCCCCAACTAGAACGAAAAGCGCATCCTGAATAGCACTGCTAGCCACCATCGGTCAAATTGTGGTGAGAGCTGGTTGCTAGCCAAGATTGGTAGACAGTAATTTGCGTCAATGTTTACATCCCGAATATTGGGCTTGAGAAAAATAAGAACAAAGACTGACTCAACAATCAGTCACAGCAGACTTTGCATAGGCAGATACAGTTAACATATAGATGATCTGACATTCAAGAAACAGTCACAAAGAGATGAAAGATTAACTTTCAGAAGGGAAACAACCAATCAGAAGACTGTGTTTGTCAGCTAACAATAATCTATGATAATGTACATGAAAATCTATAAATATGTGTTGATTTCCCAAATATAGGATCTGTTGCCTGGCCCTTGTCTTCTGTTGTTACAAAATAACACTAGAAAACAAATTTTAAGCATAGTGTCCAAGCTCAGTAGTACGTTGTAAATTCTTCTAGTGGAATTACTTGTTGCGAAAGTTGTTAAAATAAATAGTTATTTGAATATCATTTGCTGCATTACAATCAAACACTTTAAATAACGCTTACGATTTCAATGTTTTATATTTAATTATGTATTTAATGCTAAAATCAAAATGCTTACCAAACTACAGTATTCTGTTGTATTCCCCACTTGTCACCATATTGGTAGTAAAATTGCATATTTTCAGAAACTGTGAACATGCAAACCTTCTAAGTAGTTATAGTCACACATGTTTATGACATCTCTGTAGAACTAGGAAGAAAATATTTACGTGTTACACGCAAGTATTTTAAGCTTTCTGAATAGTATAATATAACTTCTGCTAAACATCACATGGCTTAAAGTTGTAGTGTTATTCACGTGACCTTCAACTAGATTAAAAATGTGCATAAAAATTGTGCTGTAAACTATTCCTAAGACATTCAACATTTTTAATCACTCAGTGGATGATTTATGCCTGAAACATATTTCCAAAAACAAAGATATACTCGGTGTACAATTGGTGGATGGTGGCTAGCAGGTAAATCCAGTTGACGAGTCCCAAACAGGACGAAATGCGCATCCTGGATTCCACCACTGCTAGTCACCATCCACCAATTGTATCCTAACTAAATGCCCAGACATCGTCGAAGCATCTGCACAAGAAGCCGACATGTCAACCTGAGACCGATTACTTCAAGCCAATCAATCGACGGGAAAATCAAAAAATTCAATTCAATAAAGATATACTTGAATTATCCATGTATTTCTCGATCTCTGTTGAGCTGTTAGGTGAATTTTAGACATTGTAATGTTAACCATGGACTTTAGGTTCCAAAGCATTTAATCGGTATAGGTGTACCGACACAAGGCAAGAGTCAAGCAACAGATCGTTTATTTACGGAATCAACACACATTTATAGATTTTCATGTACATTATCATAGATTATTGTTAGCAGAAAAACACAGTCTTCTGATTGGTTGTTTCTCACTGGAAGTTAACCTTGCATCTCTTTGTGACTGTTTCTTGAATGTCAGATTATCTATATGTTAACTGTATCCGCCTACGCAAAGCCTCTGTTTTCATTTTTCTCATGACCAATATTGGGGACATAAATATTGACTTGAAATACTGTCTGCCAATCTTGGCTAGCAGCCAGCTCTCACCACATAGGTAGATTAGGCTATTAGAGAGTCAATTACTACCAGTCATTTTGCATTGGAGCATTGAGTACATTGTTCATTGTGAATCAGTGAACCAAACACACACGTGGTTCGAGGTTCGATTCCAGCCCCGTCCGTTAAAAGAAAGTTAGGTGTATGGCTAGAAACCTCACCTCGTAAAAGAGAAAATCACTGCTACTATGATACTTCAAAGCTGTAACTGGAAGCCCTATGTCGTACTGAGAACGCAAAGAAATTTAAAGAAAAACAAATGAAATCACTCATTGTTCACTAGTTCAATTCGAACTAACTTACAACTGATGGCGAGTAGGTCAGTATTTCCTACGAACAGTAATTGGCTTAAATTCAACTGTCAAGAAATAAATATGATGTCCCATGGTTTCAGACATTGTTTTCTCATCAATATGCCTGAATTATTTCAAAATGATGCCTAAATATCTACGTAAATTTCTACTTATTTTTCATATAGAAGTAGGCGGATACTTTTTTTTATCTGCTCTAATCACACACTGAATACAACTGTTGAATTCATTTACGATTGACATCTTCAAGCCTTTTTTTTAAAATATTCGATTAGATGTTTGTAGCTTGAACACCTACATGTAAATTTACTTACTGTCAAGACTATATTCGAAAATTAGTTTCTATATATATAAATATAAAAAATATATATTTGTGTATATACATGAAAGTATTTGTGACTTTAGTGCGGCAAGTGAATAACTGCATGCCTGAAAAACCCAAAAAAAACTATCCGTTGAATTGATAGAAAGTTTGTTAGATTGCACAGTAGATTTGTCTCAAAGTTACAAAAAAAAATCTCCGACTTTTGTTTAAAACGAAAACCACTTACAAGTTTGAATAAATTTTAGGCTTTGCAATAACAACCCTGATAACTTTTATACATAAAGAGATTATTATGATGTTTCGATATATGGCAATGACTAGAGTTGGATGAAAACACCCCTCGGTGTTGTTTGAAACTGTTCTAGTAGAAGGACGTAGATCATAAATTATACTGTCAAACTATTTTGACTTGAATAGAAGTTTTATAGATATGCTGAGATAGAGTGTGTGGCATATACGTGAAATTATTTAGGGAATTAGTAGTATACTATTGTGATGGTAATAGCCATAGTATTAATAATGGAGCAAAGTTTCCCAAATTAGAAGGAGGCTAGTCAAATTTACAACTAGCAAAGGAATTCATGATTTGTAAGTTGCATAATTCGAGGTAAAAGCTCACTATGGTTTCCTCTGGAAATCCGAGTTATTCAGATCGGAATAATGCGGGTGATCTATTTGATATCGTAAATGGCTGGTCATATAGAAGGGATCAAATATCGGAGCACCATTTCCCTTATTTTGGGCCTCATTTCATCAGCCGTGTACCTAATTTGACTTGGCTGAGACAGCCGAATCCCTACAAACCACTCAAATTCTGGCTAGTGACTTGGTCGGATTGGTATATTTAGATCTGAAGAATTTTGGTTACCAAAGGAAAATGTGGTAAAATTCCACCGTATCACATAATTAGCTAACCTGAATTCTGGTGGTTTGAAGTGATTTGGTTCTTTGAGCCGATTTTGACCGAGATTCAGATTTTCCACACCAATTTTAAGTTAATCAGCTCTTCTGTGTGGGTTACGGTAGACTGTGGGCAGCGAAAAGATAGAAATACGTTGGACCAGTTGTAGGATTCAAGAAGATTTGAACTTTCTTGGACGATTTATGTCTAATGTTACATAAGCTTGGAGACTTACAGACGCAAACCAAGAGTTTGGCAGAAAAAGCTAAAGGTGAAGGCTGAACTTCAAATGGACATAGAGAAGATAGAGGTAACAATAACTGTCAGCGGAAAAAATTTGAAAGAGTTCACTTCCTTCGCTTATCTAGGTACCTTAGTTCCAACTAAAGGCACCAGCACTGATGAGGATATCAAAAGCGGAACTGGAAAGGTGAGGAAGGACTTCATAACTCTATAATCAGTCTAGACTCAGCAATATTCGAATTTTCAACGCCAGTGTGAAGTCAGTCAGCTTTACTCTATGGGTCAGAAACCTGACACATCTGTTACAAAGAGCATTTCCAACTGGTTTCAGACTTTTATCAACAACTGCCTTTGCTCCATATTGCTGATGAAGGGTTCAGAAAGAATCAGCAAGATGAAAATATGAGAACAAGCCAACAAAGAGCCTATGACTCAAGAAATACCCCGAAGAAAATGGAGATGGACTGAGTAAACTCTGAGGAGACTGTCGAATGACAACGCACGCCAAGCCATCTCTCGAATGAGAAGCGACGAGTTGGGTGTGTATCTGGGAGTAACATGAAGGAGATCATGTGAGTAGGAGGTCAGGGACTATGGACAGTGGTGGAAACAACTAAAGAGGATCACAGAAAGCAGAAGAAATTGGCGACTTCCTGCTGAACCCGCATGTACCACTCTTAGCTCAAAGAAAAAATAATGATAATAAGTAATAAGTTATTGGTGGTGTTTGGTAAAGGGGATTGTAGGTGAATAATAAGTGTTTGCTTCATGTATACCAGCTAAACTATACTTATGTATATATGTGTATATTTTTAATGCTTTTAGACATTTAATTTATCTCCAACTGAGACGAGATTTCTATGCTGGTCGACTACGAGCTCAAGCATCAAAGACTTATGAATTGGCAGCTTATGCTATACAAGGTAAGATAATGACATATATATATCTATAAATACATATGCGTAGTGAGAGTTACATCTCAGAAAGTGAACTTTTAACAGCGCTGTCTGGTGCCAGTGCTTTTTGAGACGACATCAGCGAAGAAGCCTAGATTGAAAGTGAAACTGTGACTATAAATACTCAAGAATGGAGAGCTAAAAAACCAGAGATGTATATATATATATATATATTCATGAAGGGAATTCGTGACTTTTTTATTGTTGGTCATTTAAGCCTAAATTCTGCCGAATATACATATTTCCAAAGCGTAAAATTCTTTACTGAACTACTTAAACTTTATTAGCATTCCTGGTAAATTGGTATTTGACACAATCGATGTCTGTACTTAGTCAGCACCATGGCCAGTGTCGTGTGATAGTTACACTGTTGTATGTTGTCACTAGTGGTAAATATGTGAAAGAACCACTAAAGAACAAAAACAGATTTAAGTCTTAGATTTTGATGTATTTTGATATTAGGCTGTATAGTGGAAACCGAAAGGCAGACGACCAATTGGGCATCCAAGGATGACATGAAGCAGACTGTGTGGAGAGCAGATGAAAGCTTATGAGCAGTCCTAGAAGGAGCTACAAAAAACTGTGAAGGATAGGATCAAGTGGAGATTTACCCTCTGTCCCACTCGAAACCCAAGGAAATCATGATAATAATAGTAATTAAGTTATTGATGTGAAGAAGTTTCGTATGACGTGCTTTAAGTAAAATTGTATTAGTGGTGCTTAACTTCCAGGATGTTGTTATTTCTCCAATTGATTAAAAATAACGTAAGTTGTACCGTTTTACAGTACATGCATTTTCATGCATGAAAACATGAGGTTTATTTGAAGCATTTCACATGTAATCTTCCTGTGTTTATTCAGGGTTCAAGTTAGTTTGCTTAGCTCAGAATTCTCATTTCATCTATGAATCTCAAATTAACTTGAGTGAAAGGCACACTGATTAATCAAATAAGCATCCATGTTATCAAAAACTGGCATTTAGAGAAATCATGTAGTAATAAGTTTAAATGATCGGTTTTTGAATTGAAATACCTGTTTCATTGAATGGAGGATTTCATCATGAGCTGACATCAGTTAGAGAACCATTGGAAAATCAACTGGGAGTTCTGGACAGCTGTTTCGTCCTAGTTTGTAACTGTTCATCAGTACGCACCCACCGGGGTTCGAACCCAGGACCTTCTGGGTACAAGGCGAGATCGTAAACCACTGAGCCACTGGGACCCGATCCAATGTCCAATGGATCAATTCTAACTTCTGCCAATTCACGACATAGCGCGACCATTTCGTAATGTCTTCTTCGACGAGTTACTGCCTCATCTTCAACCTGCTCTACCCTACTGGTCACGGCTTCCCAGGTTAACTGCCTGAATAGGGCCAGTCGTAAGTGAGCATCAAATTAAATTTCAAGTATTGGTTTTGTAGGGATTTTGTTTCATTGAATGGAGGATTTCATCATGAATACCTATGCTTGGTGTAATGACCAAAACCCAACTATTTCGGTCTGAACACAGTAATCCCCAGACGCGTCTTTCTGTACAGCTTACCAAACCTGCACAGTTCAAAATTATATTCAAATCGTATAAAAAGATGCTTCTTGTGTGATAGAATCCGTAGTGCTACTCATCAGTAATGGCTTATATCATAAATAGAAAACGACTCCAACAGTGCAATATGGCAGCTATATAGTTTAAAGGTTCCTGAGGAATAAAATACGTTTTATGGGATTTCATCATTATCTGATATCGGTCAGAGAACCGTTAGAAGGCTTGGGAGAACTGGATAGCTGTTTATTTCTAGTTTGAGACTCTTCAGCAGTACACATGTACGGAGGTGTCGAACTCAGGACCTTCCAGTTACAAGAACATTAGTTCGGATCCCTTGTTATATAATCAATCAAATCCCTGCAAACTGACAGTTAAAAGTACCTGTTGTACAACAAAATTAACTAACCATGTACAATGTTAAGGTACGTGAGAATCAATAAGATTGTTCTCAATAAAGTGGGGTCAAAGTTCTGCCTGCAAGAATGAAACAGAGGAAAACATGTTCCTCCCAAACAAACTGAGTTCAAGCAGTCACTTCAAGGAGTAACCTTGACTTCCTTCAAATAAAACCTCAATTATAAAACAACGTATTATCGTTCTAATATCAGAAAAAGGGAGAGAAAAAGTGTTGAAACTACGAAACAACCAGATACAAAGACAAATAATTAGGATTTATATCAATAGGAGATATGAAAACCTTAGAACACTGATATACAGATCAGAGGAAAGGGATAGTAATTACAGAATTCGTTAAAATATTCAAACAAGTATCAACATAGTAATTAGATTGTTCATAGAGAGACAGTCAAGTCAGTTATTTTGTCACAGTAGGTGCAATAATTCATTCAATGCATGCATAGTCTTGAGTTAATTCTGCTCATTTATTCAAATTTTGACTTTATAATTAGAATTTCTATAGTTTGGTTTGTAAGGAAAATTAGAAGACAAATAACAAAATTATGTGTTACAATTTTTCCAACTATTTACATTCTCGAAATCTGTAAAATCGATCAATTTCGGTAAATAAGTAGAAAGATTGACAGTCTCGTGCAATAGTGCATTGTTTGTTTTCATTTCAAATTTAATTTTCCTGTTGATTGACTTGAAGCGAAATGTTCAGTCTCCGTTGACATGTCGGCTCCTAATGCGACTGCTCCAACAATGTCTGAGGATTAACTTGAATTGGTTTGGTGGGTGGTGACTAGCAGTGAAATCTAGGATGCGCATTTAGCCCATTCAAAGCTTGTCATTTGAATGTACTTGCATTCTCTAGTGAGTCTTGGTAATCCCACACAAACTTGAATATCTTAATCCAATCAGACAACGGGGGAAAAATCGAAATTTGGATTAAAAACAACTAACAGCTGACTCCCGTTTCATAAGAGGTGTCTTTCGTGGCTCAAATGGTCTAGTGGATAACGGCTTGGCGTTTGAAATGATGGGTACTGGGTTCGAGTCTAAGTGGGCACATCATTACTCAATAGGGGATGCAGGTACATCCAGATGGCAAGTCCCAAATAGGACGAAACGCGCATCCTGTATTTGAGTACCAATCGCCCCCCCACACCAAATTACTTCAGTAGCAAATTCTTTAGAGTTTTTAATTATTACTAGAGTACACAGAAAGAAATCTAAAACAGTAAAAGTTATTTTAGAGGAACTAGACGTAAAAGCTCAACGTGGGGAACAGCAACAGATGCAGCAAGTTATTATTGTGAACTATCGCATTTTCACTGTTCTCTATCAAAAATAAGTAAAAGAACGTTCGTTAGTGCAGGAAGTTATGTTAAACCAAGTCCTGTAGATAAACTCATCAAGATAACTGTATATCATTGCATTTCTTGGTTCATTCACATATCTGATACGTTTTTTTTAGGTGACTCTAGAAACTTTCGATAGAATTAGTGTGAGTTCCATCAAAAGGATTGAGAAAACCATTTGTATGGTTGACCACTTTATGAATATATCCCAGATTCGATAACTGACTGTAACTATTCCATTCATCTGTATGAATAGTTGTCCCAGGTAGCACTAAGCGCTGGATACTAGGCAATAATACACCTACACTGCGATTAGGAATCGCCTCAATATATCCTTTCTGGAGGCTGGTGTCATATATCCCCAATACCTATTGCTGATTCGCACTCACTCTCCCTCGATTATATTTTCTTTTTATCAAAAGTACCTAAGGAATCTGTAAAAATTAAAAACGAACGACATACATTCTCAAACTGATTTTCTGGTTCGACACTCATTTCACCAACAAACAAACAAACCCGTCGATGCACCTATTGTATTTTGCATATGAATGACACCTCCACATTGGTAATTTTTTGACCTTCCTATCAGTGCGTTCTCCAAACAGTAATCAAAACAAGATCTGGAGCGAATTTGCAACGAAAAGGTGCACAGCACCCATAAGTACGTCTGGTTTAAACAGAGTTACCTGATTGGTTACTCAAGGTCATTTGTCCGTTCGCTAGGCAGTTTCGGTGTAGGCTGCTATTCTTTAGAGTTGCCCAGAAGCCTTGTGGGAACTAATGGTAACCCAGTGAAAGTATGCTACCGAACTACTGTTTTAGTTTTTCATTGAAATTGATTTTCTTTTCATCCTCTTACTTTCCTCTTTTTTAAATTATCTTGTTGCAAAAGCTGAGCATGGTTTAACAGAAATACCCCAAGGATTCAATGTGGATACTATTCCTGGTGGTATGCGTGTTCTGCCTTGTTTAACAACAGCCATTATCAGAGGAATTAAGGCACATCTGAAAACATGCATGTGAGTTTAAATTAATTTTCTGTCTTTCATTGTCATAAACTTGTTTTATTGAGTGAGCCTAGTTGTTTCGTTTGTTTGTTTTTCTGTTGGAAAAAAGAATGTTGACTCAATTTTGTGCAGGTAGATTTCTTCATCTTTTTTTCTTTCTTATTCAACTTGCTATTAAAGTGTGTAAAATCAATGATCACTTCAATCTCACTACTAATTGAATTTCAGAGATATTAATTAACTATTCGCACTTTGATTTATGATGTACAGTTATTCCATTTATTTATTTATGCTGCTGTTCTTGTTGTTATTGTGACTAGTTCTTAGTTTTCACATTAGACTGAATATTATTTAGTATTTCATAAATTCAGACAACAGAATTAGTCAAGAGTACAAATGTGATCTAAGCGTTCCTTATATTTGCGTTGAATGAAGTATATTTGAAGCTAAAAATAAAAAAAACACATTTAATTTTTTGGGTGTACAAAGACCCTGATCCATGTTTTAGCTGTTAGGTTTGTTTTTAAAAAAACGTAATGTCATCTTAAATAATTCAACTACCATATTTGGCTGAACATTTTTGTCGCCTTTAAGAAGACGATGGATTGTTTATTGTCAAAAATTAAGCGAATTGCTAGCTGTTTATTTTTAGTGACACCCCTCTTTTGGTCATTAATCTTGGAATAGATGTGTACACAAAATGAGTGTAATCATTTGATATTGTTGATGATTATTCCCCGAAGTCCTGAGTGCAGTATATGGCTTCAGCATCACGCAAAGTCTGCTGTGATTGATTGTTGAGTCACTACTTGTTCTTATATTTTCTCATGACCAATATTGGAGACGTAAACATTGACGTAAATCACTGTCTACCAATTTCGCTAGCAGCCAGCTCTCACCACACCCGCCCCCCGTCAAAGACTTGCGACTGAATTTGGTTCGGTCTTCTCGGTTCTAGGGGATTGGTTCGTTTTTCTTGTTGTCTGGAATCTCGGCACTCGCTGATGTTCACCTGATTCTCTTTGTTTGCCATTGCGATTGTGTCTGTGTAACCCCATCTCGAAGTGACCATATGTGGTCCTTCCCACTCTGAAAACTGTTTGCCTGACCTAGTCGCATATTCGTTGGTATTTCCCCTCACACTTTCATATGCTGCTTTCTCCTGACCTCCCAGCACCGTCCCAAGTAACAGGCTCATCGCTAACAGATCTTGAACGCCACTCAACTGCGCCGAAGCCTCGAAGTCCTGCCTGAAGATCCATATGTCTCCATAAAAAACTGCAGGGCATAGGCTTTCCATTTGTCGGTGGGCAGCGACACCAAATGTAACAACAGAAGACAAGGGTCAGTCAACAGATCGTTTATTTACGAAATCAACACATATTTATAGATTTTTATGTACAATATTATACATTTTTGTTAGCAGGAAAACACAGTTTTCTGATTGGCTGTTTCTCATTGAAAGTTAACCTTGCATCTTTTTGTGGCTGTTTCTTGAATGTCAGATCATCTATATGCTAACTGTATCCGCCTACGCAAAGTCTGGTGTGGTTGGTTTTTGAATCAGTCTTTGTTCTTATTTTTCTTATGACCAATATTGGAGACGTAAACACTGACGTAAATCACTGTCTACCAATTTCGGCTAGCAACCAGCTCTCATCACAGTAATATTTATTGATGGCGTTTTGAGCACAATTTGTTGCTCATAATGGTGAATTATGCTCAAAATGTCAAGAATGTATGACTTTATCGAATAAATTTACTCTATGATAAAATTACATCTCCATTCTTTGGGCTCTTGGTTGGTTAGTTTCCCGAGTTCTTTGTAGCAAATTTTTTCTCACCTGTCATCTGATCATCAGTATGGAGAGAGAAGGCAACAGTCCTTGATAAGAATTCCACAGCCTGTTGAACTGATATTTTATCATGTTGCATTCTTGAAATCAATTTCCCCTTGTATGGATTATTTCACCTTATTCACTTGTTCAAGATGCATTAGCCAACAAAAATGACACTTTTGGCTCATAGGCGTGCAATGTGTGTACATTCTTTATAGTGAGAAAAAAAACATATTATAGACTAAAGTATGTCAAAAATTCAGCATTCTCCACACAAATTCAACATCTGTTTCAATAATAATAACAATAATATCAAAGATGCGTAGTAAGTAGCTACTTGTTAATAATTTCTACTTCGAATAGAAATTTCAACTGTTTAGGCCTGTCTTTCTCACCGGTAAAGTTAGAAAAAATAAATAAAGACAAGCAGAAGAACGACATGATCCTGAAGCAAACGAAGAAAAAATGATGATATAATAGTACGTAGGTGAAATCTATGTACACACTTCACTGACTGTTGGCTTATATGTTAATAATAAACCAGAATTTCTTTAAACTAGAATTTATTGTATCTTGACTTCATATATGTATATATTCTATGTCTGAGGTTCATAAAGAATTGAAAATAACGAACATGTAGCCTAATTGGTTACTATTTTTAGACATACTACTAAAATTATAAAACCACGGATGTATTGTGTTAAAGTTGACCCTGTCAAGTAATTTTAGCAGATTAGGCTAGTGAGACAGCATGAAATTTATTTATCAGATGTTTAACTTTACATTGAATAACTTCATTATTTCACTGAGTAAAAAATATCAGAGTAGAAAGAACGATTAGACAAGAGGGAGAAGTTAAAATTTCATGAATCTAAAGGATGTCAGAAGTGAAGAAAAATAGAAAGAGGCGAAATTAAACAATAGCGTCCCAGAGATACGAACGCTCCAGTGACCTTGAACGCATGCCAGTCGTTGGCTAACGACACTTGTCATTATCATAGAGCGAATATCAACACTATTCACCGACTAAGGCGAAAATTTCACTCAGATAACGTTTTTAAGTAGTGTTTGGGCAATGTTTCAATAGCTCGTTAGGGTCAGGGTCATAAATAGGATTAAGGTTAGGATTAGGGATAGATTTAGAGTTGGTATTGTTTATTTTCATTTGTTTTATTATCCACATTTCCCTAGTAAGTAGTCCTCGATCTTTTTACTGGAAACTATAGTAATTCAACCGAGGACTTTTGGGAGAGACTGGAAAACAGGATAAGAGCGATAAGCATGTCAGGAAAAAACCTCACCTATAATCACCTCCGTGAATATATAGAATATACAGAAACTGGTGTAACTTAAAAATGATACTCCTCATCATAACTGGGATGTATTTTTAAGTCATGTTAGAGAAAGATACCCTGTTTTAAGTGTCTGCACGCTTTTCTTGTAAATGAAAACAAAACACGTAGATCAGCGAAGAGTCTCTTTTCCGTGAATTCATTTTCTTAGCTGTACAATCGCAAATATATATGTGTTGTTTTGTATGTATGTGTATATTAAGTTTGTCAAAGAAAATTACAATTGGTTAAGGTTATTTTAACTAAATAGGTGAAGGTTGGTAATACAAGTCAAGAAAATTAAGTGTCAATGAAACTAGGGCAGTAACAAAGGTAATGAGTTGTCCCAAACAGTTGTTAAAAGAAATTATGTAATAATAATATGAATAGTTTGATGAGTGAGTTTTACTCAGAATGCACATGTAAATAAACGTCATTTGCGTCGGTAGTGTAGATCAGATGGTCAGGGGGAAATGACATTCACTAAGGGACAATCTTATTGCTGACGGATGCAGCTGATTCTTATTTGTGTGAAATGAATAGAGGCCAGTGTAAAATGTTTGTCTGTAAAGATTTCTGTGAAAAGTGACGAATTATCTGTGATTCATGCATATCACTGATGATAGTAATGAGACTTTCATAAACAGACATTGCGTATTATGTTCGCCTATTTGCCGTGTTACACGGTGTGGTTGAAAAGTGTTCATTCTTCTTTTGGAGAATGTCTTCAATATTAACTTCATTTTCAAACTGGCTTCGCAAATAAACCACCTAGTTCAGAGAATACAATAACATCAACAAGAGACATATTTTTCTCCATCTCTTTGTGATATAAACCTGGTTATGCTGAAATGTATTCATATCCTTCAGAGAGTGTGACACAATAAACTAATCCGCTTTCTTTTACTATTGAAAGCATTAGTTATTACTCAGAAGTATCTCTGGCGTTGTATTTTCTTTACAAATTCAATGACTGTTGTCTAACTGCAGAGAATCTGTCAACATTGAGAATTAGACTTAAGACTAACTTATAGCCTTAATTTTTTAAGCCATCCTTCTATTCAATTTTCAGTGGTTTTTGAATATTCATAAGCTTTAAATGTGAAATGCTGAAGTTTTCAAATAGTAGTAACAATAACAATTAAACTCTGTTTTCTTATGAAGTATTTTTTTATTCATACAATAGCTGCATGTCAAAAACTGAAGCTCTAGAGAAATTTATTGAAGAGGCATCAAAGATTGAAACATATGGAATGGAACCATTTCAAGTGCAAGTGAGTGTGCTCAAAGTTTTGTTTATGTTTAGTGAATACTTTCTTATTTTAAAATGATGTTTATCAAGGTCACAGATTAATATCAATGGACGTTGTGCCTATGTATTCAATGGTTCTATCTTCACATAACACATTTTCTACCAACTGACAAAATTAGGAGTTTAGTCTGTCAGTATCCTTGGCAGTGCATTTACGATAACTATGAAAATGGAAAACCGTTCTGGTCCTTTTCTTCATATTCATTGGTTAATGGTACGTCCAGATGAGCAGAATAAATCGATCACTCTTTAGTTCAATATGTTTACTTGAAGTTAGTCTATTAGGGCTTCAGTGTCATTTTAGTAACTTCAAGTTTCATAATACATCACACTAATTATATTTACACTCAGTATTGGATTGGCCATACGCTGAGGAAACCATCAAGTGACATCACTAGACAAGCCATCACTCGAGTGGAACCCGAAAGGGAGGCGGCGAGTTGGTCGTCCAAGGGTGACTTGGAGGAGGTCATGCGAGGAGGAGATGAAAGCATGTGGACAGACCTGGAGCAGGGTGAAAAAGTTGTCAGAAAACCGAAGTCAATGGAGGTGCGCAGCTGAAGCCCTATGCTCCTCTAGGAACTAAAGGATACAATAATAATAATAATAATTGTAGAGTAAATGACAGCCGGTGAAAACGTTTTGTGATAGTTTAGAAGAAAAATGAGGTGAGGGAATGCATTAAAACACAATGAACTTTAATTTCATACAATTATTTATCTTCCAAAGTTAACCTTTCAGATTGTATGTGGTCAAATGCTCTCAACCCATGGGTTGAAGACATGAGTAGGACAGAGCTTTTTATTAACGCCGATAATATTCCCGATTGGGGCGGATTGAGTCGTGCAGTGCAAAGTGTAGAACGAGAGGACAGAAATACTCTGGACCGATATGAAGACTCTAGAAGATCTGGATTTTGCGAATAATTTGTCTCTGGTGTCACACAAACACGAAGACCTACAGGTAAATACCAACAAATTAGCAGCTGAAGCAGCGAAGAAAGGAACTCAATTGGACATGTAAACGGTAGGGGTGATGAAGATAACCAAGCAATCACAACAGGCACTGATCATCACCAGAGAAGGACATTCGAATGAGGTCATTTCTTTCACTTATTTGGGCAGCATCGTCTCAACTACAGGTGGCACGAATGAGGATGTCAAAGCCAGGATCGACAATGCAATATAGAAGTTGTTTATTCTGAAATCAATGCAGAAATCTGCTGCAATCAGCATAAAGAACATGATGTGAATTTCCACCACTAACGTCAAATCAGCGCTTCTGTATGCTTCACATACTTGGTTATTGGCGACATTCATCAACAGCTGCCTTCAATCCATACTAAAGATCACAGAGCCGACTAGAAGGAATAAGCAGCAGGAAACTCTTGGAGTTTACCAACTGAAAACTTGTCGCACAACAGATATGTGGAAGGAAATCGAGACAGATCAGACACATTTCTAGGAGACCGTTAAGTGACATCTGCTCGTCAAGTGCACGCTCAAGTGAAACCCTAGTGGGAAAAGGCTAATTGGATGTGGTTCCGATGATAATGTGGAGGAGGAAATTGAAGTTTATAGGCACCTGAGAAGCCAGCTAAAGATGAGTGGGGAGAACATGATGAAGAGGAGATGTGCGTGTGATACCATATGTTCCACTGAGAACCCAAGAGAATAACAATAACAATAAATACTCTTAAAACAAAAGTGTTTTAGTGTTCACGCTTAAGTGTTAATGTCGAAATTCAGGATTGTGAAAGAAACTATAATCACTGTTTTTGTATATGTAATGGAATGATTGAGTGTTTTTCTTCGAACAATTAAATGTTGGAACAAAATTGAATTATATACTCTAGATGTTTTAGCCTATATACCGAGTTTATTTGACAAGTTAAACAGTATGCGAAAAATTCGAAAACTGTTCAGAGAGTCAATAACTGTAGCGTGGCGTTCATTTCATACATCTTATCAGAAATAGAAGCCTTTTTATTGTCTCTGGAAGTATTTAAGCTTGCATTTATGTACCTGGAGTTGTTGTGTCATCCAAGCTGTCCTTCTAGACAATATTTTCAGCGCTTTGGAATAATTATATTTCATTTTACAAAATATAGAGACTCTGCCAATGAAGCACACTAATGGTCTATGAGATTGCATTGTAACCAGAAGATCTTGGGTTCGAAATCCTGTGGTTGTGTAGTGTCGCTGAGTCCCAAACTAGGACAAAATAGCTTTATAGTACTGTCTAGTTTTCAATGGTTCTCCAACTGATATCGATCTGTGATCAAACCTGGAACAAATCAGATCCCTACAAACAAACTCTTGAAAACACGGAGTAGTTTGGATTTAAACACGCATTTGCCACATAATAGTCTGAAGCTTAAATAAGACAGTGATGTAGGTATGTACTGCTATTTCTGTGGTGATGATTCAGCTACATCGCTGTCTTAGTTGGATCTTACCTGTAGGTTCATACAATGTTCATATGTGCCTTCTAACTTAAAATCTCTTCCTGAAACAAATTATGTTAAATATGAGAACATTTTAACTTTAGCGATCCTAGGCGGTGGCACAGCAGTTAGGATTCTCGCCGGGGTCGATCCCCTGCCGATGCACGCCTGATGTCAATGGTTGGCCTGCAAAATTTGGGCTACCAACATCACATACCGAAAATTCCGTACTTGTACCAAATAACGGTATGGAATCAAGCTATAATAAAAAAATGCTAGGGATCAGTAGGGTTTTCGTAAGGTTGACAAGGTCTACTACTGCCTTAGTGACCTCAATGATGGCTGTGTTAAAAGTCATTGCTGAGTACTACGTTGTACTACGCAGAGACTTGGCGCGTCATAAAGAGCATCTCAAACAAACTTCAGACCTTCATTAACAGTTGTCTTCGCTCAATACTCAAGATTAGATGGCCGGCCAGAAAAGATCACCAACAGGGAGGGATCTCTGGTAGCGAACCAACCAGGAACCGATTGTGAAACAAATAGGCAGGAAGAAATGGAGATGGATTGGCCATACTCTGAGAAAACAACCATCAAGTGACATCACTAGACAAGCCATCACTCGAGTGGAACCCGAAAGGGAAGCGGCGAGTTGGTCGTCACTGTAAGGGTGACTTGGAGGAGGTGATGTAAAGAGGAGATGAAAGCATGTGGAGCGGGGTGAAAAAGTTGGCAGAAAACCGAAGGAAATGGAGACGCGGGGCTGAAGCCCTATGTTCCTCTAGGAATTAAAGGATATAAGAATAATAATACGCTGAACCAGGATGTTTATAAGAACCACAAGAATGCCCAAAAATAACAAAACACTAATTAGATAAACTAATTCCCTTCTCTGTTTGCATCATGGGAGTTTTTAAGAAGAGCATAGAAAACTACACTGCAATTAGTGCTCACCTTTCATCATCCCTTTCCCTTTCTAATCATTCTGTGATTCTTAATCATCTAAACCAGTATCATCGCACTTCAGTATTTCCAGTCTCTGTCAAATTTCAAAACCACCAAGAAAATGGAATCATCGCAGAGAGAATTTCATTCACCACAATCTTTGTCTAATTGTTGCTTCAATTTAATTTACCGTTTTTTTCTTGGTAAAGCAAAGACGTGTGCATCTGCAAAACTGCACGTAATCCAAAAAACAATGTGAAAGATTAACTCAAATATTTGTTATTCTGTACTTTTATAATATGACTAACTGGTCAAAGTACAACATATTTTTACTAAATTATCGATCTTTTCATAAAGGTGTATTACACTTCGTAATAATTTAAATGATACATATAAGTGAAGGTGGAAATTAGTAGCACACATTTCCCTGTTTACCTACGATTGCAAATCTACAGTAACATCTTTTTATGTTATTCCTTTCCGAATTGAGAATACACTAATTGATATATTTATAAAGTGCTATGCTGCTTACTATTCGGCAGCATACTTCTCCAAATAAAGTCGATTCATGTCAAAGTTATACTGATGTGATATAAGAGTCACACCTAGTTTTCATTACAACTGATCGACTATATCATGAATGTGAAGAACTATTGTAAGGGGTGAACACACACACAAAAACACAGTGTTTAAGCTGGATGGAGCTGATAGAGTTATGTTTCATAACATATTTTAAATCCAGGAAATAAATATACAGCCAAATAAAAGGAACGAATATGGGTGCGACCATATCAGGACTAATTTCTCAGGCCGTTATGCAAAGAGGTGGCAGTGGTAGCCCAACCAAAAATCAGGCTAAACGTTTCGATACCATGTGTTGATGACACATGGTATCATAACTAGAAAAGCTGATTTCGTATACACTCAAAGATTAGTCCACAACATGTCTGGAGACATAAAAATCGCACGAGGAGAAGAAGAGGAACCAAGCAACAAGATACTTTTCTTGGATGCCTTAGTCAACAGAAGAAACACTGGAAAATTAGAAACACAGATATATAGGAAATCAACTGACACAGACCACATACCACATACCACACATATGACAGCAGTCACCTAAAGGTACTCAAAAGAAATTGTGTAACAGGACTATTCATTAAAAGGTATAGCACACTGCAGTTTTCTAGTCTTGAGGAGAATGGAAATACTTAATAACTGTCTTGAGGAAAAATGAATTAGCCTACAATTTCATCGAAAAATGTCTGAACTTGAATCAAACTCCCAGCAAGAAGTCATCATAAGAAACTATAAGACAACGCATTCATCCATACATGTGAAAATGTTTCTGCAATCAATGCTAGAATACTACAGACATGTGGAACAGATATATATAGCACACTAACTGACGCGGTCACTGAAACCAAAAGACCCCAAAGCGAAAGAACAGAAGATTAGTAACATCCACCAAATAGACTGTGGATGAACTGTGATCAACAATATGTTTGTTAAAGTGAGTGTATCCTTAAACTCTAAATCGAGGAACATAAACTAGTTGTCAAAATACACCGCATGTATTGTATCATATCGATACAGTAGACAACTATTGGTACTGGTTTGACTGATAAAATGTAGAAATTTTAAACACTGGAAGCATTTAAGATTCCAGAGGGTTCTAGAGTCTGGTATTGAAAGATTAACCGACACATTACTATAGATCAGGTTTACTGACTAATAAAGAATAATCGTATGGGCAGTGAGAAAACAGGAATACGCTGGACCAATAGGAAGATTCTAGAAATTCTGGATTTCGCAGATAACTCATGTTTATTGTCACAAAAACTCGAAGACTTGCAGGCGAAAACCAACGCAGTGGTTGAAGAAGCATAAGGCGAATAGAGGACGCTAAGAGAACAAAGAGAAGAAGAGAGGTGATGAAGATAACAAGCAAACAGCAACAGCAACAACAATCAGCATCAATCACTATGAACAGGGGTGATTTGACAGAGGTCAGTTCATTCATTCATCTAGGAATTGAAGTTTCAAACACAAACAAAAACATAGCTGAAGATGTTAAAGCCAGTCATACGGAATCGCGAAGGCAAGATACACTCCGATCAATCTGATATCATTTTGCATATCTTCTGAACTGCTCTCAGCCAGTCAGAATAAACACCAAGATTCGGATCCACAATACAAATGTGAAGTCAGTCAGTCAGTCAGTCACCTCTTCTATATGAGTCAGGAACCTGAGAAATGAGTGTGACACAAAGAGCATCTCAAACAGGCTAATTCAGAATTTTATCAACAGCTGACACCTTCACTCGCTCCATACTAAGGATCAAATGGATGGCCGACCAGCCAGAAACAATCAGCGAAAAAAAAACTCTGGCAACAAACCAACAAAGAACTGACTGCTCAACAAATACGTTGGAGAGAATGGAAGTGGATGAGACATATGTTGAGGAGATCGTCGAATGACATCGCACGAAATGCAAGCCATCGCTTGAGTAAAATCCCAATGGGAAGAGACAAGTGGTTCGTCACTACAAGGGTAACATAGAGGAGATCGTGTGAAGATGAGATGAGAGATTAAGGGTAATCGTGAGTCGAGGTGAAGAGGACAGTAGAAAATCGAAGAAAGTGGAAATGTGTAGTTGAATTCCTATGTTCCACTCAGAACCCAAGGGAACAATAATAATGAATAAACATATGACGAAAAAGTCAAATTCTAAGACCATAGAAACAAATAGTCATGATACAAATTAACAACTAACCACATCAAAGGTTGTCAGGGGATACAGTTATGTCATTCATACAGGATTTAAATAACTTTACTTCATCATTGGAACTTGAACTGAAGATATTGTCTAGAAGGAAAATGTAGGCTTTGCATTTAGGTCGCCCGGCTCACAGAACGCAACCACACCAAGAGGTTGTTCTAAAAGTAAGAGCACAGAGAATCATTCTTTAGGTGCAGATGTTATTCCCATTCATTAATGAACATAAGTGGATGAACAATAGTTACATGGAAGACCGGTATTTTGTTGGTTTAACCTATGTGATGATATGATGAGAGATTTCGTTCTACCCATCTCATTCTTTATCAGATAATATCAATTTCACAAAGGATTTTGAATAAACCTATGGAATGCATAATTTAGAAATATATTTGCAAATAATATTAATTCTTTTAATATTCTACACATTATTCATAAGTTAGGCTCCTGACTTACTAAACACTTTTATCCTCTTGTCTGTCATGATTAATTCAACCTGAAGAAGTATTGTTTGGTGAAGCAGTTACATCGGTGCTTATATCGATTTCACTTAATAATGATACTTTAAGGTGTCTTATATGTTAGGTCCTATTCACGTGTTTTGATTTGTAGTTTCAATTAAGTCAGAGTAGTCAAAATTCACGGGATATATAAATTATTTTTCACTATATTTAGTACTTTTAAATTTTACTGAACTACTCAACCATTGTGTTGGATATTTTAGTTTGTTTGATCACTCTGTAGAGTAATTGTAACCTATGATATCTCAGATACTGTATCAGTGGATTTATTTACTTATTTATCCTGAAAACCGATATGGTAGATGCCTCATTCCACTCGTATGAACCAATCACAGGTTGAACGTAGAGCCCTCCGGTTGCTATTCATTCCCTGGGCATTGAAATCCAAGACTAATGGGTCCTAACTTCTGTTGTTTTGAGGAGTAATCTTGTTTAAAACTATACAAATAAGCAGCCCCATTCCTGAATAGCCGTCGCTTATATGATAATAGGTCTGATATTGATATGTTGTTTACCTTGAAAGGCCATTGAAGTACTCTGAATCTGTAGATGATTACTCTGGTTCTTTAAATAGGCTAGTTCTTTTTCACACACAGCATAATTCTGATGTCGGATTGATCGTGAATTTCACACAATTTTTCGTTCTCAAGAATAAATTGTAGAAACCAATATCTTCCCATTGGGATTCCACTCGAGCGATGGCTTGCATTTCGTGCGATGTCATTCGACGATCTCCTCAACATATGTCTCATCCACTTCCATTCTCTCCAACGTATTTGTTGAGCAGTCAGTTCTTCGTTGGTTTGTTGCCAGAGTTTTTTTTTCGCTGATTGTTTCTGGCTGGTCGGCCATCCATTTGATCCTTAGTATGGAGCGAGTGAAGGTGTCAGCTGTTGATAAAAATCTGAATTAGCCTGTTTGGGATGCTCTTTGTGCCACACTCATTTCTCAGGTTCCTGACTCATATAGAAGAGGTGACTGACTGACTGACTGACTTCACATTTGTATTGTGGATCCGAATCTTGGTGTTTATTCTGACTGGCTGAGAGCAGTTCAGAAGATATGCAAAATGATATCAGATTGATCGGAGTGTATTTTGTCTTTACAATTCTGGATGGCTGGCTATGACATGTTCATCCGTGTTTGTTTCCTGTGGTTGAAAGTGCGTTTCCTAGATGATTGAATGAATTGACCTATGTTAAATATTTCCTTACCGATTTAAGTACTTTTAATTAAGAATGTTTAAAATTTTAAAAATGTTTCTGAAATATTAATTATACCTTATTAGAATGGATCGAAGTTACATTAGCGACAGAGTTGTTTTTCTTTCAGAAGGCCGTGAACTTTGTTTTAAACCTCAGGCCACATGTCAAGTGATTCACCTCAGGAAGTTCAACAGTGTGTCTGCGGTGAAATGAGGAGTAAGAAAAGTTTGTCTACTATGATTGATAGCCTCGTAATTGTGATGGACTACATCATGCAGGAGATCTTGCGAAGTGAGAAGACAGCGTTACACTGGACTGATAAAAGATCCTAGAAGATCTGGATTTCGTGGATGATTTATATTACGTCTCACAAATTTGAAAATTCATAGGCAAGAAACAGGTTGTCAGAAGTGGCAATGAAGACATGAACTCAGGCAAATTTATGGAAGGTATTGGTGGTGAAGATGCCCAAAGACCAACAAAAATTATCCCTAATCACCATGAATTCAGGAAATCTAAAGAGAGTAGTCTCTTTCACCTACATGAACTGGGAAGCATAGTTTCATCCACAGGTGGCAGGATTGGATGAGGAAAATAGGACAGGAGTTCATCAATATGTAGTCGGTGTACAGACTCCCAAATGCACTGGCAGATAGCAAACTCACCAATAACCTCTTACCCAACAAAAAATGCAGTAGGGAATATTGGTGGATAAGACATACGATAATGAAAACTTCAAGTGCCATCACACCCCAGACTCTCTAATTGAACGCAAATAGGAGGCTACGGGTTAAACTTGGGTCTGAGGGTGACATAGAGGATATCATGTGAGGAGGAAATGAAAGCTTGTAAGTAGTAGTAGTAGTAGTAGAGCCAACTGAAATTGATGGCAAGGAACTCACTGCAACTGGAATGTGTCTCACAGTCCTTACAACTCACTTGAAATGGAAGGAATAAATAAGCCATATCATCGGTGTCTAATAGTATTCACTATAAGACATTCGTTTATTAGCAGATCTGAAAAGTTTACAGTGACTGTATTAAAGTAACACTTTTATTAAAGGAAAAAGAACTCGAAATAAAAATTGTTAAGGTGTTTTTGCACATGGCTACATCGTGGTGAGTTGGTGGTCGGTTCAATGATAAAGCTCTCGTCAAACATCCACAAACGTGACCTAGCCAGCAGTAATCCCTGAAAAGGAGGTAAGTTGGGTGTGAGACCAGCAACCCTATCCCTTAATTAAAACACCACTACTACTGAAACTTCAAAGCTCAGACTTGAAGTTCCATGTTTCACTTGGAACCCTAAGAAATGACTTGACTTTGAACCTCTAACTAGTCCATTATCTACAAACTAATTAAGCAGTCAAGCAAACAAGGGCATCACAGGTAACACTGTAACACAAGTCATACAAATCACTGTGACAGTTCTAATTGGCAGCTGATTGTGTGTTTTATAAGCCTTTGGGAATTTATCTTCTGTTTATCTATTATGGATTACTGTTGGGATTTATACAGCTCAAAATATTGTAAATTTTTTTATTGTGGTTTAAAATTTTCCTATACCTTTGCCCTACAGGACCAGAGACAAAATGGATTATGCATTGGATTCAATTACAAGGGTATTTCAATATTCAAAGATGGTTTCAGTACCAATGTTTTTGAATGGTAAGTTACATTCCTAAACAAATTTTTGGAATAAATCTAAGGAAGATATAATATTGATTAATTATTTATACTGTTTAACATATTATTTAGAAATTGAAACTAATGACACTTACCAAACACAATGACTAACCTTGATTTGGTGATATTAGATGGTTGAATGCAATCGGCGGGAAGCTTTGCGTGACCTGGGTTTGATGCTAGTTGGCACACACCAGTTAGCAAGGCGTATCTGCAACCTTCAAGGAACAACTCATGTCCCTTCTGAGATTCGAACGTGCATCAACCAGTGCTGCAGTCAGAGACTGTACCAGTGAGCTATTCAGGCTCGCTAGTGACCTCCTGGAGGACTGTAGTGGATATTTTGATTGGACACTAGTAACTACTGTAATGTGTCTATTCCTTTCTTTCGTACAGACTGAATTCTATCAGTCAGGTTTGCAATGTGGCCACCAGTCTAGGTAGCTCGCGATCACACTAGTTACTAGTGTCCAGCCAAGGTATAATGACTAACCATTTTGATATTTGCCTAAAGTTAACTTATAAATGATGGAAAATGAAATCATTCTATATACTACTAACTGTTTGAAATGACTAGTTGGATATCATTCACAACAACCAGAAGTGTTTGCTAACCAGATTGAAGTGATCCAAACACTCGACTACCGTACCACTCGTTTGGGCTGAGCACATCTGAGTAATTTGAGTTTTCAGAGGAAACTGTGACATTTCACTTCTAACTGTATAAATTACAAACTGGGCAATTGAAATAATTAACTTTTAAAAAAATCCTACTTATCTATAAACTGTTTAGTGTTTATAAAAAATCCTATCCGTGCCAAGAAAGATACTTTATATGAACCTCGACTTCAGAGGTCACCTACACAGTGATATCCTTAAGAGGAGAATTTCCACTTTTTTAAGACAACTTCCTTCGCCGAAACACTGACAGTAGTGTTCCTTAGTCACCCGCTGATCTGCAGAAGTTCAAAGGACAATATCTCGCACCTGATCACTTCTATGTGTATATATATTAATTCACCCATTACTGTGAAGCTAGGTACATCGGTCGTTCGATGCACATCTTGTCAAAAAGCGTCAAAGAACACTATCCAGTGAGGCTTCAGAAAGGAAGTAGTAGTCGTATAGGGACTGCAATAATCAAACATCTCGTCACCACTGGTCAAAGTAATCTATAGAGCGAAGAACAACCTGACAAAGACAATGTGTTTCCATCTTCTTTGAATAGCGGAAGCCCTAGCTATTCAATTAGAAGAACTAGAACTATGCATACAAAAGAAAATTATTCAGTAACTTTTACTATCATGGTAAAAACTCTGTTGATCTGACTTAACTTTTGCTTTTTTTTCTAACTACTTAAGACTCTTACGACATTCTGTATGTTATTTTGTTTTCATGTACACCCTGAGCACTACTCTTTCATCAAACGATTCATGTTATTGCGTAACTCTTCTTTAACAATAGTTTGTAACAACTCATCGGTTTTGTTACTACTCCCTTAAATCAACATCCAATTCCTCTGAATACTTTTTGTATTACGCAACTCCACCCAAAACTTACTAAATGTCACCTGTTTAGTTAAAATAACCATAACCAGTTGTATTTTTATTTGGTAAACTTAATGTACACGTAAATATTATATAACCCATATATTCAAGTGTTCGTTTGTAGGGATTTGATTGGTTTCAGGATTTCATCATGAGCTGACATTAGTTAGACAACCATTGGAAAACCTGGGTCTAAGGTGAAACAGCTGTCTAGTACTCCCAGGTTTTCCAACGGTTCTCTAACTAATGTCAGCTCATGATGAAATCCTGATAATCCATATGTTTGCGATTGTACAGTTAAGGAAATGAATTCACCGAAAATAGACTCTTCGCTAGACTGCTGGTCTTCTCTCTACTAATGTTTAATGTTCATCTCTACTTTTGGTATATGACCGTGACATATCATCTCAAAACTTGATGACATCTTTAGCGTTGACCTATTAATCTAACTTCTTAACGAACATCAGACAATTCAAATTGTCATCCTACTCTGTGAATCTCCTCTAGTGCTTAACATTCATTACTCTAAACACTTACTTTTTATATCCGGTTCGCTAGGGTTGTCAGCAATGCAGATTTTACGAAAGGTTACCGTTTCTGCAAGGCTTCTTTTAACTTTGGAGCTAACTTCAAATGATTTCTCTGTACATAATGAGTGACCGATGTTGAATATATATGTTCACTCATAGCACTACACTGTTACCTTGTCATAACTAAGTGGATAATGTTCTTCATACCATGTACCAAGTTTTTAGTCCATGAGTTAAAGTTCTGAAACTTGTTACACAAAATTTGCATCTAACCAACTGGATGGTGTCTTTACCTTTGAGAAATAGAGTTCACTACGGAAATATTAATATACCTACATATTTCATATTTAACATATTCATAACTATGTGTCATACGTATATCTAAACTAAAGCAGAGAAGCGTGTACACTGTATTAATCTATAATGGTGATAACATTATTATTGTTTAATGAGTTCCTTTTTTGAGCCTGAATGGTCACAAAAGACAAGTATTTATGAATTCATAATGTTGTTGAAATTATAATTGATATAAGAAAATAAATGAGAAGAAAAAAGATAGACAAAAGTGCATGCGTGGGAGTCAAATGGATGTATTAAATAAATTAAAATACTTTATCAATGAGTGTTCTACAATGACCAGTTATAATTATATAATTAGTAGTTGAGAATTAGTCATTTATATGGTATTCAATAATGAGTTATCACTCATTCATTGTTCAATATAAAATCACTTGTAAGCCAACATCAACTTGACAAATTAGAATTATCTGAGATACTTTTACAAACAACTAAGGCTATAATCTTTCATTTAAATTAAAAAATCAGATTATTATGAGTAAGAAAACAGTACATACTACTATCCAATATGAGTAGTTGAAATCCACTCTTATCAAACAGTGTTTCTTGCTTAGCCTAAATAACTGAATCAGCTAGAGATGATTCTAGTTGGGACGTTTAACCAGAACATTTTAGTTACATAAATTATTTTTAACTGTCATAGTCACCTTAATGTAATTTGGTGGGTGGTGATTGGTACTCATATACATGATGTCCATTGCGTTCTATTTGGGACTTGCCATCTGGATGTACCTGCATTCTCTAGTGAGTGATGGTGTTCCTACTTAAACTCGAACACAGCACCTATCATTTCAGACTAAAGGGGTTATCCACTAGACCACTTGGGCCACGAAAGCCACCTGTTATGCAACAGTTGCTAGTCACTATCCAGTTTTTGGTTTTCCCCGTTGGTTGATTGGATAGAGATGTTCGAGTCTGTGTGAGAAAACTATAGCCCACTAGGGAATGCAGAACATTCAACTGGAGAGTCCCGAATAGGAAGAAATGTGTATCCCTGTTTCTACTGCTAATCACCATTCAGCAAGCTATTTCACGTTAATCCTCAGATATCGTCGAAGCCGTCGCACTATGAAACGATATGCTAATGAAGACAATTCGCAGTGGAACATAGGGCTTCAAGCTAGAGGTTTCAAGTATTGGTAGCAGTGATGTCCATTTTTACGGAGTGGAGTCGCTATCCTCCGACTCATCCTTCCTTTCTTACCGGTCTTATTATAGGTTTAGCGTGTTAAAGGAAGAGTGCATCGACCGGGGATTTGAATCTCGGACCACACGCGTGGTTGGTATGCATTCTATCGCTAAGTCACTGACGCCACCTACGCTGATATTTTTTTTCCTTCACGTTCTCAGTCGAACATGTGTCCTCAAGCTAGTGGCTTGAAGTTTTTGTAGCAGTGTTTATTTTTACAGGATGGGGTTGCTAGCCTTATGCCAAACCTTCCCTCTTTACCGGTATTATTTCTAGCTTAGCGAGGTAAAGGAGTGTGTCGGTCGGTGATCGAACACCGAACCATGTGCATGGTCGGCGAGCGTCCTAACCTCTATGCCACCGATGCACTTTTACTTAAACTCTAGACTACAAACAGAGTGTAAAACCTCGTATGGAAATCACATTGGGGGCTTTCACAGTTATAAAAAATAAAGTTCCAGTCATATACAATATATCATTCATTGAATACTCCTTTGTTATGTCACTGAATATAACCAAGTGATTATAAATCATTTGCAAATTACACAGCCCCATCATCATTACTTTCGGATACACAAGATATCCAGATCACGACACAGGATCTTGACGCTATGAATGGTGATCAAGAAGAGAGGTAATGCATCAAGTTGCGGTCTACTAATCGATAATATGAATGACCGAAAACTACACATGCCAAACAGTAACATTCACTAGAGCGGCAGAATTGATATAAGCAACGAACAGCCATTTCTCTGGTTAGGATCCAAGCAGGTCCTAGTTTGAGTGTTTCAAACGTCTTCACCTATGTGGGCTGAGTCTAACCAGGTACACTGTTAAACAAGTCGTCTCCAGATAAAAGAATAGCCTATTCAGTATTGATTTCACCTCAGTTTGATTAATTAACATTACTTTTTCACATGAATGGATTTCAACTACTTGTGTTATCTAGTAGTATGTACCTTCTTCCGACTCTTGATAGTCAGTTCTTCAGTTAAGTAGAAGATTATGGCCTTACTTATCTGTATAGGTATCGGAGATAATCTTAGTATGGTAGGTTGAACAGTCATTGATAAAGTTTGTCTTTTTATTCTTTTGAAGTTTCTGTAGCAATTTGGTTAAGCTTTTGGGGTGGAGTTGCTTGCACCACGACCCAACCCTCCCTCTTTATCTGGGCTTGGGACCGGCTAGAAAGCTAGCGAGCTAGTAATCTAGGTGAGGTTAAGGAGTGTGCCGGCCGAGTGTTGGACCCGGACCATGCGCATGGTCGGCGAGTATCATAACCGTTATGCCGCCGACACTACCGCTGACCGCGAAGTAATTGGAAAACTACTCGAGTACTACGACGTACAGTGCTCTATA